GATTAAACTAACTTTGTAACCTACATGTCTTCTAAAGCCTATAGTTTTGAGTTTTAGGTCCAGGTTAAGCTAAAGCCTCTTAGTACCTTTCCAGAGAATGGAGAAATGTGACCCTATCTGTAAGGACAAATAAAAAAAAAAAAATCGAGTAAGCAATGACCTTCACTCAGCAAAAAGAATGACCAGACCCTTGTCTTCGAGATAGTGTTTCTTAGCAACCAACCCAGATGGCCTCAATCCTTCTTCTGTGGCCAAAAGCCCACAGCCCTGATCTTCAAGGATGAGCTAACCACCCCCACCTTTAATTGCAGCTGCATCCACACTTGGCAGGACTTGCCAAGCTTGAACACCTAAGACTAAGCAATTAACTTACTTTATAGCTTCCTCATCCAATCCTAAATTGCCAAGACTGAAACTTCAAAATTCCCACGCTTTGTTTTTTAAAAACCCAAGGCCTTTGTCTCCCAGTGCCACTCTTTGCTGACCAGCAGGGGTGACCCCATTGCGCAATCATTAAAATAAACCTCTTGCAATTTTGCAGCCATGAGATCTAGTCTCCTGAGTTCTCTTCATCGCTTCTAAAAATTAGGCTCATGCTAGGCCTAATAGTCTGGAACTCACCAAGTAGGCTAGGCTTGCTGGCCACTGAGCCTAAACAATCCACCTGTCTCCACAGCACTGAGATTACAAACATGCACAGCCACACCAAGGTGATGAGGGTCTGAATTCAGGTCCCCATTCTTGCATATCAAACATTTTGCTGAGTCATCTTCCCAGCCCCCTCATAGCTGAATTAAAAAAAAAAAAAAACAAATCAAAATAAGCTATACAGGACGTAAAGAAGCCTCCAGAATCTTGTAATTTTCTTGTGTGTTTTGTAATTTTCTGTGAGTTGCATGAGCCTTCTTTTTCCCTGAAGAGATGATGCTTCTTCAATCTGGAGGAAAGAGCTACACAACAGAGGATTTTTGTATTTGTTTCTCTGAAGAAGCCAACAGGCTCCATTTTCTCCTTTCACTCTTGCAGACAGAGAGGCTGGAAGCCCAGGTTTCCTGTCAAGAGCCACTAGGGAAGGTGGGTGGCTTGTGTTGGGTCTAGAGGTTGTGCAAATAATAAGGACAGGACCGCCAAAGTCAAATTAAACCAGGAAGCAACTTTATTCACTGCATGGAGTGCTTCTAGCTGGCTAGGGACACAGCCAGACACAGTTGCTTTTTTTTTTTTCTTTAAGATTTATTTATATGTAGACAATGTTCTGTCTGCACATACACCTTCACGCCAGAAGAGGGCACCAGATCTCATTATAGATGGTTGCCGTAAATAAAAAATTAAGTGTTGGGCTGTACAAGGTTTATTATTAGCCCTAAGATTATCGTGGTGGTATTATTTAACCCACTATCACAAAGAATAAGATACAGGCACCAGTTAGATTTATAATGGCCTTATTTACATCTGGTCTACCTTCCATACATAAACCCCTTGGTACTTGCTTATATATTCTTCATCTGGGCCTTTTCAGGCCATCATTGGAGTCTTTTCTCCCAGCTCATGTGGTTTTTTTTCTCCATGCTAACCCATTGTGGTGTCCTCCTTCCTCCTCTCTTCCCATTTGTTTGTGTGCCCCATGATTCTATCTTCTCTAAGCCCAGGGAACCTTAGCCATGCCTACCCCATTCTGCCCTGCCCAGGTTTAGGCACAGGCCATTTAATTAGTCAATCAGGTAGGTTTACACAGTACGGATAGTTGTACCCAGATCTTGAGAGCTAGCAACATGCATCAGACCAACAACGGTTGTGAGCCACCATGGGAATTGAACTCAGGACCTCTGGAAGAGCAGCCAGTGCTCTTAACCTCTGAGCCATCTCTCTAGCCTCCACCACAGCTGCTTTTTAAAGGAGCTCCTTTAAAAAAAAACAAAAACAAAAACAAAAACAAAACAAAACAAAACAAAAACTATGAACAGATATTAGGATACAATTAGGAAAGAAGTTAGTTATTTTTTAAATTTATGGGCCTGTCCTTGAGTACCAAGCCTGTTCAGGATGTTGGCACAAGTGATAGCGTGGAGAGGGCACTTGGGAAGGGAAGTGGGTCAGCTCAAGACTCAGCTTCTGTGGTAGCTGAGCAATGAGATGGAAAGTGGGTCACCTCAAGGCTATTCCAACAATGCAGCAGGTTTTTTACCTTTATGGGCTAATGCAGGTTTTTTTGGGGCAGGGGGCTCCCAGCAGAATGGAGGCATCAGAATGGGGGCAGCATGGAAATGCTCTAGGCCCTTCAGGGATGCACTGTGATGGTACCCGATTTCACCCACTTTACATCCCAGGATGCATGATGTAGTTTATGCCAGGAGAAAGCACCATTCATTTATACAAGAGCATCAGTCTTGGGTTTTCTTCCTCCTTCCTCTTAGGTTCATAAGATAATGCAGTTTCTCACAGTCCACGCACGTTGGCTTAGACACCATACAATAGTGTAATAATAAAAATCTGCATTTACTGAAGCTTGTGCTTGATATTGATACTCTGTGTGTGTGTGTGTGTGTGTGTGTGTGTGTGTGTGTGTGTGAGGGCAACATATGTTGTACACAGCCATGTGAAGGCCAGAGATTGCCATCAGTTGTCTTCCTCAGTTGCTCTCTACTTCACTGGCTGAGGTACAGTGCCTGAGCCTAGCCGCCCCTCCCCCCCAACCATCTACTTTAGTTAGCCAGCTCTTTCATTTTATTGAAAATATTTTTTTGAGCCAGGTGCACACCTATCCTCCTAGCACTCTGGGAGGCAGACGCAGGTGGATCTCTGTGAGTCCGAGGCCAACCTGATCTACAAAGTGAGTCCAGGACAGCCAGGACTACACAGAGAAACTCTGTCTCGAAAACTCAAAACCAAACCAAACAAGCACTGGGGCTCAGAAATTTAGGAACATTTCCCCGAATTCAGGCGGCCAGACGCACTGTCCCGTCTCCTTTATCTTACGATTCTCATTTTAGATGTCTGTTCTTCCAAGTCAGTGGTGCGGGGGCCGAGGAGATAAAGACGAAAGTGAGAGATGAGAAAGTGCAAAAAAATAACTCATTTCCTGTTTTGTCCTTTAAGGAAGAGAGATGGAGGAGCCTCTCCCTTCCTCTTCCTGTTTTCCATACAAATGTTGTGGCTTCTTTTTGAGGCGTCTCTCACCCTGTAGCTGGTCTGTAACTCTATAGCTTAGGCTGGCTTAGGGTTTGTAGCGTTCCTCTTGCCTTAGCTCCTCAAATTCTGGGATTATACACATGAGCCATCATGCCCCTCTCTTTTAGAGTCAGTTTCTACAAAGATAAACATGATGTAAAGATGAACGTCCAAGATTGGGTTTAGTGCCACAGACTTTTAATTCAACTACTTGGGAGGCTGAGGCACGAGGGTCTCAAGTTCAAGGCCACTCTGGCAGCTTATCCTAAAACCTAAGGTAAGAACTTATCCTAAACCTAAGGTAGAAAAGAGCACCAAGAATACAGACTTGCCTGCTAGTCAAGTTACAACTTGACTAGCAGGCAAAGCATCAGTGACACGTCACATTTCCCTCTATTATATCCTCTCTCTCTCTCGCTCTCTCTCTCTTTTTGAGACAGTTTCACTCTGTAGATCAGGCTGGCCTTGAACTCAGAGATCTGCTTCCCAAGTGCTGGGATTCTGAGTGCTGAGAGAAGGAAATGTCACCCTTTTACTGAAAGGAAAAGATCCAGCAAGACAAAGCATCCCTCCTTTCACACATCTGAGCTGGAACAGCTCTTCCCTCTCTTCATAGCTTAGTGTCCCACTTTGAAGGTGGGATATGCTTTGGATATAAACATGTTTTTGTTTTAATCCCAGGTGTGGGATGTGGGACTAATCCTGACAGTCCACAACAGCAAACTATTTTCCTCGAGCAGGCTCTGAGAGGGGCTCTTTGCCAGCTGCAGATAGTTTCAATCTGAGGACTCTGGAGAGAGAATAAATGCCAGGGCCCAGAGAGTGGAGAGCTCTGAGAAAGAAGAAGGCTGCTGCAGCTCCTATTGCTATTAATGCAGTGAGACAAGAAGTTGGAGGTATCTGAAACAAGGACTCGCTCCAATGAACCCCACGACCCTAACCAGCAGGAAGCAACTTACAGAACTGTGCCCCCTCTCCTACTAACCCTTTCTCCTACCTAGTTTTGGAAGGGATTGGGGTGTTGGAAGGGATTGGGATGTTGGAAGGAATTGGGGTGTT